GACCCTGACTGCAGCGAGCCCAGCTACAGCCTGCTGATCCGGGGCAGCGTGCGGCCGCTGCGGGCCTCCTGGCTGGTGCGCGGAGGAACGGCGAGCGAGGTGCATGTGAGCTGCGTCCAGCAGTGGTGCCTGCAGACGGCCTGCGACCCGCCGGACACACCGGCTCCGGACCGCAGCATGCAGGAGCTGACGCTGATGCGCCTGGAGCTCCAGGCCGAGGAGCTGTTCCTGGGAGACGTTCACACGGAGCGCGCTCAGCCCGCGGGATACCAGAGCCCCCTGCGGAGCGCCAAGGTCAGGACGCAGACGTCTGCGCTGCTGCATATGCATGCGCTCCGGCCCGGCGCGGGGCATTAATATTAACCCAGAGTGAGGAGCACTCAGAATAGAATATAGTGCAATGCGCTCTCTAGTGCTTACACACATTTTCAAACTTTGCTTCTTTTTTTAAAACATTCACACACAAATCCAAGAACTGTACACAAAATGCAAAATGCATTCAAAATATCACAAACGCATCTCAAAAGCAAACATTTGTCTTGCGTTGCAAACACCTTTGCCATAATATTATATTTTTGGATATACAGTCAAACCAAAAATTATTCAGACAGCAGATAAATTTTTGATATTTATTTACTAGTGTGTGCAGGACACTGTAGTTCATTTATGTAAGTGAGGAGAGCAAAATAAAGTGAGCTGTGACTTATTACACCCAAAAACTCTCCGGATCAAAAATGATTCAGACACTTTGAGCTGAGCATGTTTTGCTGAAGTGTTTTTCTTTAATTGCTAATGTGATCTTTTTACTCCACAGACTGAACTAAATGAAGCACTGCTTGGTAATTAGTTGAGCTAAATTGGTTTTATCTAATTGTGTATTAAATGTAACAGCTGACAGCTATTCAACAGAATTCATTACATACCTTTCTATCAAAGTTATCTGACATTATCAAGATGAGTTTGTTCTGATCGCCGTTTTCAATCAACATTCATCCCATTTCACAAAGAAATATGTCAAAATTATTTAAAATGAGACAAGATGTATTTAAACTTGGTAAAACAACTAAAATCTGCATGCTTTATTTGAATTCATTATTCTTTCAAGAAATTATTTAAAATAAGATAAAATAAGAATTACAATACACTAAAGATCAAGATATGTCTTATTTTAATTAATTGTTTTAAAAGAAATGGTTTAAAATAAGACAAAACAAGTATTATTATATGCTAAAACAACTAGAAATGAAGATACATCTTATTTTAATAATTTTTTTAAGTAAACAGTTTAAAATAAAACAAAACAAGCATTAAAATTCTCTAAAACAACTAAAAATCAAGATAAACAACTGAAAATGTTTTATTTTAGTTAGGTGATGATTGAAAA